TACAGGCTGCCCTCCCCAAAGATGGAACTAAGAGCTTAAGCTGTTGTTCCCATTCAGTAAACAGACTGCCCCCCAACCAGGCATCTCCCATCGGCCTCTGGCTGCATGAGGACAGAACCTGACCAGTGGCGCTCCCTTCTCAAGCCCTGATCTCTGGGCTGGGAGTCCTCAGTCTGCAGGGGAGGGGTCCACCGGGTCAGGAATGCCAAGAAGGGAATGTTAGAGCTCAAAGAGACCCAGAGGGGATCCTGCCTACCCCTCCCCCAGCTCGTTTCTGCAGAACCCCTGCATCATGAGATCCCTGTGGGAAAAGGGGTCCACTGTCAGAGAAGATCAGAAACATTGCTTGACCTGGCTTCCTTTTGGCAATAAACAGTGCACGCAGTCCCAAAGGCTCTTAAAATCTCAGTCCTTCACTTGTAAAACAGAGATAATAATAAAATAATAACCTATTTTGTGGAGCTGTTTCAAGGGTTAAATGAGATGGTGCCTGTAAAGGGTGTATCATGGTGCCTGGCAAATAGTAAGCACTTAAACAATGTTAATATTTATTATATAATGTTATTGTTAAATAGCATGGTGTTATGATAATGATCACTGATCATTGTTACTTAACTTTGTTGAAGCAATATTTCCCAAATATACTGGACCATGGATTCTTGTCAGGTAATACCTGTTAATAATCCATACCCTAAATTTACCGATCCCTTTTGTTGGATGTTTAGATTATTACCAGTTTTGCTATTATATGCTGTGCAATGATGACCGTCTTTATGGCTTAATTTTTCTTCACATTTTAATATTTATTTTCATGTAAAATACATTTTTAAAAATGTTTGGTATATAGATGGAGAATCACTGGGAAAAAAATAATCCATATATTACAGGAAAAGCTGATCTAGTTTAAGGAAGCTTAGAGAGGTAACATAACTTGCCTGAGGCCAATGGTAACTGAGGCAGAGCTGGGATTATTCTCCAACTCCTGAGACCAAGGACTACCTGCATCTTCACTGGGACCTACACTAGAAGCTTCGTACACTTAGCAAACACAGACTGCAGCTCGCAGAAGGGAGAGGTTAAAGGTAGGGGAGTCTTAACCACTGGAAAGAAGCTGGGAGTGAAAGTCCCAGTACCTGGGTAAAATGAAATGATGTGATGATGCTGGTGACAATAGCGACAACGATAATGATGACGAAGGTGATAATGATGACAGCCAACATCTACTGTGCCAGCCAAACACTTCATATACAGCATCTCAGCTAATCCTATAAGCTAAGTATTATCACCCCCATTTTACAGACAAGAAAACGGAGGCTCAAAAGGGTTAATAACGTGACCAATGTCACACAAGTAAGTAGGGGCTCTGGGAGTCAAGCCCAGGTCTTTAACTCCTAAAAGCCACAGTCCCAAACACTAATGCTATCCCTCCTCTCATAGGTTGGAAGTCAAGGTGCCTTCCTCCACTGACCTAGAGAAAGAGTCATCAAGTTGGGAAAGGCATAGTGCCACCTGCCAAGGTCCTAACTTCTCCTCCCTGCTTGGATACACAATTGTTTATTTGGTCAGTCAGTCAAGCAAGGCTCAAAGTTCAGCCTAGCAGAAGAGACAG